TGGCCAAATTAAGTGCAGTCGGTTTCTGCAAATAAAATGAGTTAACTCAAAGGTTTGCATATTAACATTGTATCAGTTTATGAAATACGGTTTTTCACTGTAAATTTAAACAGTTCTGTAAAACCTAAAATGTTGCTACCGTATTTTTCACGGTAAAGTTCTGGCAACTATAGCTGCCGGTATTTTACCGTAAATTTTTTTTTAAAAAGTGCACTCCAACAAAAATGTTTCTTACAGTAACATCAGTTTTATTAATGGGCAGCTTAAGTGTACCATATTTTCCAGCAATTAAGTCACACCTGAATATGAAAGCCACACAGGGGCAAAATTGCATTTTTTGAGAGAGAGAGGAAAAAAAAGGGATAAATCACATCAGTGCATATGTTGCATTCATTATTACATTCAGAAATAATGTAAAATATCGGTAAATAAAATGTTTACAAACATTATAAACACTATAAACACAAAGATGAGAAAAAAACACAACCTATAGCCAGGGCTGTACAGTGCGACATATACGTGCTACGAAAAAACTGGTCTGTGCGATGAATAAATTTACCACTGTAGCACGCGTGCAATACAGATTTGCATGTTCATAGCACAGCCACTTAATAGTGTGAAATGATTTCGTTGTGCTTGTTTGTGTGTGTGAGATTGATTACAGCCTACTTGGTAGTTAGGGGTGTGTGAAATGATTATTAAAATGTCTCCACGATCTACTTTTGAAGAAATGTCATAGTATCGTGCTACAGCGCACATTCTATCAGATGCAGTTCTGGCGCCTCCGTCTCAATATAGGCTACTGTAGCCTAGTGCAACACGACATCCATATCTAATGTTAACTCAGAAGTAGAGTTACACTCACAGGACACAGCATTTATTCGCAATCACAAAAGTACACTATTTGCATCTGCTTCAAAGGTTACACATTCCATTCACGCGCTGTTCTGACGTGTGCTTTTTATAAGCGCGTACACCTGAAGCGCGCGCAAACTACGAACCTGTTAAACAGCACCTGATTACTAGACTAAGTTGTCTTTCGCGTCTGACTGATTTCGCGTCTAATACTGTCAAAACACACAAGGTTTACATATAAACACAATTAGTTATGTCTAAAATGATAGTGAACAATTGAAAGAGAAACGGATGCGTGCAGCTCTCAAAGCAACAGAATTAACATGCTGCTGCTTGCCATTAAAGGAATAGTTCACCCCAAATTTAGTGTTTTATTTAGAGTTTTTATTTAGTGATGTCTGCCTACAGATCTATTCTACTTTGATGTGTAATGTTGAGATGTAAGAGGTGTTATGTTTCTGCACTCTTCCATTTTTAGCAAATCCAAATAATGATCTTTAAAAAAGCATCATATGACCCCTTTAAAGCAACAGAACTAAACATGCTGCCGCTTGCCATTAAAGGAATAGTTCAACCAAAAATTAAATTTCTATCATTATTTACTTCACTCACATGTTGTCCCAAACCTGTATTAATTTCTTTCTTGTGCTGAACACAAAGAATTTGGGTAACCAAACAGTAGCTGGTCCCCACTGACTTTGACAGTAGGGGGAAAAATGGAAGTCACATAGGAACCAGCAACTGTTTGATTACATCTTTAAAATAACTTTTACGTTCAACAGAAGAAAGAAACTAATTCAGGTTTAAAACAACTTGAGACTGAGTAAATTATGGTATAAAAAATAAAACACTATGACAGAGTTAGGCCTACTTCTGTAGCACCAGTGCTATGTGCAAAAAAAGTTAACGTACAGCCCTGCCTATAGCCTATTCTGGAAAATTTAGTATATTGCTGTACATTCACCTCATAGAAAGGACTACTTAAGGCGGCACGATAAATCGAAATGGAATCGAGTTCGCGATTCGACAGAAGCTGCGATTGTCATGTTAAAATGCGCATGACAATCGCATTCGATTAATCGTGCAGCCCTAGGACTACTGTAGGTGTATAACTGTCAATGACTATGTTTGCATGCACCGTCACTGAAATAATCATATTATTGGTGCACATGCACACACAGTCACTGTTTTCATGTTTTTTATAATAGTATCACAGATGCATCAATGGAACTTAGCACATGTATTTAATTTCTAAATATTTATTTAAATTCACAGTTAAACAACACAAAGAATCCGCACTGATTTTGCAGTTCGATTCTGATTCACAAACTCATGATTTGGTCTGATTCCAATTTAAAGGTGCATTTAGTGGTGATTTAAAATGTTTTACCTTAAAGGCTTACTTCAACCAAAAATGAAAATCCCCATTTCCTTCCAAACTCCTAAGACTTCATCTTCAAAAAACACAAACTAAGATAGTTTTAATGAAACCTGAAATGTTTCCGTCCCTCTACTGAAAGTCCAGGAAAAAAATAATAAACGATCCAAAAAGGACATAAAGGCTTCATAAAAATGAATCAAGAAATGTAATCCAAGTCTTGTGAAGAGATACGATACCTTTATATGATGAGCTAATTATTTTAGGCTTTTATTTACATAATGCTCCACACACATATTGTGAACAGAATTTTTTTGCATGCACCATGTGCTAGAACAAACCTCATTGGTTCTTGTGCATGTGCTGTGAGCTTCTGTGTTTACGATGTGAGTGAGACCTTGTTTTTATATCCAGGTGAGGACTTAGGGTGCGTTCACACTTGTAGTTCGGTTCTCTTGGTTCGGACCAAAAAAGAAAACGATACATTTTGTCCTGGTCGGCTTAGCATTCACACTGGCATTTTTGACTGTGAATCTAAACATACTGAACCTAAAGGCATAGTAATGCACTCACAACCTGATCGGTCGGGTTGAATGACATATATTTCATGACAGAACTTACTGAACACCCCAAAGGTGTAGGTGTGTTCGACTTAAAGCAGACCGATCGGTGTATGACATCAAAGCACCCATTCACCGATTGGTCTGCTTAGCGCCGCTTTAAGTCGAATACACCTAATGCAGTCTGCTGGTCTAAGCGCGCTCATTGTTGCATGTACGTATGATTTTATTTGTACCACCTGCAAACTCCCGAAAAGCTCATAAAAGGCACTTTAAGCTCCTCGTTGCGTCACATCTTGTCATTACATTCTGTTTTTAGTTTGTTTAGAAGCATTTGGTCCATGTTGCATTCATATTTCATTCAAATCGCACCAGAGTTCGTTTAGAAGTGGACCAGGAACCATATTTTTAGTTTGGTGCGTACCAGTGTTCGGATGGCAGCGTTCACACTTACTCAAACGAACCGCATTAACAGCAATCGCACCAAAGTTCGCTTTAATCTAACCAAACATGACAAGTGAACACACCCTTAAACCCGAATACATACCGACTCATGGGGGCTCGTGTCTCAATTTAGGTCCCAAGGGGAAACAAGCTTATAAATCATACAGAATTATTTTTTTGGGGGGGGGGGTTCCCGATCTCCCTAAATG